CCCAAATCAACAGTTCGGACTTACGGTTCATTATATAAAAGGTGAAATTTGACCTAAAATGGTATAATAAAATATTAAAACAGAATAAACAATAATTTTGCATTTTTAAAACAAAATAAGCAATCATTTTTGCTTTGTGATACGGTAACAAACGCATTTAACATGAACGATAATCTTTTTCTTCCTTTGCTTTTACCATTAGTTAGGAAAAATGTCAAAAACAACCCATACCAAGAAAGAAACCAGAGTGGACGATGACGGCGCTGTCCACACAGTTACCACTACCACCGTTACTTATTCTGGTTCTCATTCGAAAGGCTTTAATTCAAATATAAACGATTTCTTGGCCGATAGTAATTTTGACTTTAACAATGAGGGTTTTGGCAAGGATTTCTTTTCAAAAATTAAGCGTGTATCTTATGAGAAACCACATGAACAACCAGCACACTTACCAGAAGAGTATACGCTTTACAAAAAACCAACACAAGAGGTTCAATATCTCAAGTCTGATTGTAGCGGACATAAAAGAGCACTTTTGATTGGAATAAATTACATTGGTACTAAATTCAAATTGGAAGGTACTTAATAACGTAATATTTAGGCCGTTTGAAATTATAGTTTCGTTTAACGTTCCTTTATGGAGTTTAAGCGCAGTTGGGAGGCTAAAAAAATAACCTATTATCATTGGCCTGTACACAATCACGTGACCACTACCTCCTAAAACGAAATGGACGTTCTGATTGGCTTGTTTAATCCCAGGGAGGAATTCCTGGAGGTGGAGGGGAAAACGTTAAATGAAATTGTAATTTCAAAATATAATTTTGAATTATTTAATCTAAAATTTGATTTTGATTATAGGTTGTATCAATGATGTCAAGAATATCAAAGAATTCTTGATAAACCATTTTAAGTTTAAAGAGTCGGAAATTGTAGTTTTAACTGATGAACAACATGATCAGTCAAGAATTCCAACAAGGGAAAATATCCTTAAAGAGATGAAGGCTCTTGTTGCTAATGCTCAACCACACGATTCGTATGTATTTTACTTAATTGATAGTTCATTTATAATCGGCACTGTTTTTATAGTAAGAATTGGGGCAAATTTCATATGAGCTTTATAATAGAGTGGTATCTGGCATTGGCTCAAAGCAAAGTCTTTCTTCTACTAAGTTAACCTTTCTTGCGGTTCTAATGGTGGTAAGATAATCAAAATTGGTCGAGTGGTTCTTGAGATATTATAACGTTTCTTTCTTCGCACATATAAAACTTCTTTACAATAAAGTTTTATATGTGCGAAGAAAGAAACGTTATAATATCTCAAGAACCACTTGGCCAATTTTGATGATCTTACCACCATTAGAACCGCAAAAATGAGCTCTACAACTTTTGTTAGAGCTTGAAAAAGGGTTAACTTAGTAAAAGAAAGACTTTGCTTTGAGCCAATGCAAGATTTCACTCTATTATAAAACTTATATGAAATTTGCCCCAATTTTTATTATAATACTAATATAGCAATAGTGCTGATTTTATTGAATTAGCAATTAATTATATTTTATTAGTTTATCTTACACGTGAATTTACTTGTTTCTCCGGAAATTTGGCAGATTCTTTTTACACTACAGTGGTCATGGTGGTCAACAAATAGACACAGATGGAGACGAAGAAGATGGTTACGATGAAACAATCATGCCACTCGACTTTCAAACACGCGGTCAAATTATTGATGATGTAAGTTTCATCTATTGTAACTATTTGTTAATTTTTCAAATTAACATTTTTTTTCCCTGTTACAGGAAATGCATCATATACTAGTGGATGGCCTCCCAGCCGGTATTATTATTATCCGTTCGACGAAATTAAAATTAATACCTTTCTGACATTAATATTATTAAATTTAAAAGGGTGTAGATTAACGGTGGTATTTGATTCATGCCATTCTGGCACAGTACTTGATTTGCCGTACGTGTACTCAACTCACGGCAAAGTAAAAAAACCGCATATAATTCAACATGCAATCAATGCTGGTATTAAGTATATACAAGGTGACAGAGAAGATGCTAAAACTGTTACAGCGCAAGCACTTTCGGAGCAAAAAATTCGCAGGAAGAATCTAGAAACTAAATCAAGTCCTGCAGATGTTATTATGTTCAGTGGGTATGTTGATTAATTTCATGCTTCCCGGAATCTATTTTATTCTTGAAAATTTTTCTTAAATTCGTGTAATAATTTAGATGTAAAGATGAACAAACATCCGCAGACGCTTCTGGAAGCGGTCCCGCCACTGGTGCTATGTCACATGCTTTAATTACTACGTAGGTTCATTTTATTTTAATTAATTCTATATATGTTATCCAAGCTCTTATTTTTTCTTTTATAAATACAGGTTGAGACAAGATAGTCATCAAACATATCACTCATTACTGAATAATATAAGAGATATTCTTCGCGATAAATATTCTCAGAAACCACAATTAAGCGCGTGAATATTCCCCCCTTTTTTTTTTTTTTGGAATATCAAGAAATGATATGACAAATATAAGATCTTACTAATTTAACTTGCTTTCTTATGCTTACATATAGGTCTCACCCAATGGATATGAACGAACTGTTCAAAATATAATCCGTCATAGAAAAAAGATTGGGTAGTTTGTAATTTTTTACTTTGTCTGAATTAGATTGATTGTTTTATTTATATTTTATACGTCGACATGTATGGGAGTTTGAATATATTATATTTATATAAATTTGCACAAATAAATATTATGTATTTTTAAAAAAATAAATAAAAAATTGTTAAGATTCTAAAAGATCTTCAATATTTATTTTATATAAAGTTTAAGTAGTGGTTAAAAATAACAAATTATACAAATTATACAAAATGCACCTATGATGTTTAATGCTTACATAATCAATTTTGATTGGCTAATTTCGCATAGTTGATTTTGATTGGTTGATTTTAAACATATCTTCTTGATATTAAACTTCAATTTTTAAGTTATTGCAAACTTTGATTTACAATAACTTCTTTAAAACAAAAAATAATAAAAAGTTCTGTGGTTTAGCTAAAAAAACTATTAGTATGTCATAGATTTTTTTTATAGTTTGTTTTTAAAGTTAAAATAATTTAAAATTTTTATTAATAATCTGTAAAGGTAGTTACTATAGCATAAGATTTGGGGCTTTGAACATTTTTATTTGGAACATCCAGTGTTAATTATTTAATTTTGAGATATAGAAACTATGGTGTTCAATACTACGGTAAACTCGAAAAATAATCTTTGATTTTAAAGTTGAACATATCAGTATACAATAGTTGTTATATACTAATATATATTGAAGTCAGAGATTATATCATAATATTGGATATTTGGACAATTTGGACATATGAACAATGTTCAATTGTCCAAATAATTTAATTGGACATAATAAATATTTTTATTAGACATAAAAATATTTTATTAGTAGCTTACTGTGCAAAAGCAAGCTTGATTATTTTAAGCCACCAGATAGCACTGTTATTATATGTTATGCAGCCAATAACTTGTTTATTTGGCTGCGAATTTACATGAGTCATTTCTGGGCTCATCTGAAAAATTTATTATATAAAAGAATAAGTGGTTTACAAACTGCAATATAGCATATATTATGGCTTTGACACATTATCCTTTTTTTTTGGATACCAAAATTTATCTAATTTTACTATTTAGCATATTGAACTTTATTCCTGGACAATTGGACATATGCCCAACTAATACAATTGGACTATTGGACTATATCCAATTAATTTCACAATTTTATTGGACATTGTCCAATGTCTAATGGTCCAAAAAATTATTTGAATTAAATGGACAAATTGGACATAAGTCCAAAGTCCAAAATTTTATTTGGACATTGTCCAATACCAACACTGATTGAAGTATATTTTGCGGTTAGCGTTTAAAATTAGCTTGCACAAGACGCACATGTGCAAGAGCTTTTTCTAATTGCGAGAAATTTACACAAAGTGTGCAAGTTTGAAGAGTTGCACAAAATTTTATATTTTTTGTAAATTAACTTGCGCAAATGAGTTTTGTTCTAAATTTTAAACGCTGGTCGCAATATTTTGAATACCACCATCAAATCATTTTATTGGATAATTTCTGGCATTATTTTTTACATGGAAACCTTATGACGGATAAACGCAGATACGTTGATTTTCAAAATGTTTCAGCGACTAAGAAATAGACTGCTTTTTTCACTTCGACTTTTTCTTTTGTCGAACGAAAAGAAAGAGGGAAAAGTTTTTATGTCTTTGCAAGCATATCAGCTATCTCTGTTGTGTTCGCTTGGTAGCGTTATCAAATAGCCCGTTTCGTCTTTTTTCTTATCGCTCTTTTTGACATACCAATGGGGGGATGGAGGTGTGTTTTGTCTTTAAAATTTCTTTTCTTTTTCAAAATGAGTTCTTTGAGGCTCTAGCAAACAAAAGTAAAAAAAGAAAGAAACTAGAGAAAACAAGTCGATCCTTGCCTGGCGGTTATATAGACCGCAGTGATGGAATATATCCGATATGCCCTATGTGATCACTGAATGATTTACGTGTAGCTTATTCGGTCATCTCATAAAACAAATATGCAAATGTTCACTCACCTCGTAAGTTAAGAATTTTGCATATTGTATAAGGAGGTACTGAATAAGTATAGTTGTCGTCCAAGGACGTCCCAATCCATGTTTTGATTAGCATTACATTGGTTTTAACCAAGTTTTGACCACTAGTTAAAACTAAGTGATGCTAATTATCACATGGTTTCAAATAGTTTGGACGGCAGCTATACGAATAAGCTACAATTCATTCAGTGATCACATAGGACATGTCGGAAAGGTAAGTTATCAGTCGAGTCTTAGTAATTGATAACTGATTTTTTCATATTAGATATCCTATTGAATAGTCATGACACGACAAATAACTAGTACAATGCCTTTTAGTCGCAAATATATTGTGAATTCGGTCTAATGGTATATAATAGAGAAATACATTACTATAGTGTACTTGAAATTAATAAATAATATAATCAGTAGAGGTTAAAAAACGACACATAACATTTATATTTGACCATTATTAGAATGCTGTCTTTATTTCAACAATACGTTGTCTTAGTTCATATAATATACACCTTATCATACCTAATCAAATAAAACTAGGATCACATCCAGTCAACAATTTATAAATTTCGACATATCTTTCCGAAACTTTTTGAACAATATTTTCAGGTAACTGAATGCTAGTTTTTTTATCAAATTCAATACTTAATAAGTAGTTGCGTAAATATTGTTTGTCAAGACTGTTTTTAAAGTTGACCGAATAGTATTCCTGTTAGTTTCCTATTAATTATGAGTGTGTTACAATGCTTGTGTAATTATATGTTTTACCTATCCTGTTTTTCACCAACTTTGTAATTCGAAGAAAGCCAAAATCGGGATGAGTCTTTCGTATGAATAAAAAATAAAAAATTAAGGAATTAACCCTTTAAAATATCAGTGTATTAACTAAAACAGAGGCAGAATCAAGAATTGTTAAATACCAGGAGTTAAAACTTCATCCACAAGAAACAGATTTCCATCAGAATCAGCACCGAATTCGAACTTTGTGTCCGCTATAATTATCCCTTTATCATGTGCGTATTTACTAGCCTATTGACATTACTTTATTAGTGAACAGCGTAACTTAATTTTGTTTAAGTTATGAATTTTAATAATGTGTGATAAACACTTTGGAATATAATTTTACAGAGGTTTCAGCAATATCATGTGCAATCTTTTCTCCAACAATTTCGACCACTTTAATAAAATTGATGAAAGCAAAATAGCAGTTAACAAAATGAATATCCATAAATGACTTCTATAAGGGATGATAAATTTGTGTAAAGTTACCTTTATCAGGATGAATATTTTCATCTGAAAACGTGTATGTGTGTATGTTTTATGTATGTTATTAATGTTATTAACAGTTGTTAGTAAAAATATATTCATAAAAATATTCACTTCGTTTTTAGTACATAATTACCGTGACTACCAATTTCTGCTTTTGTACTAGGTGTATAAAGGGGCTTCTCGAAACTCTGACTCTCCAATAATCCATCAGGCAACAGAATATCACACACGCTTCTTTTCTTTTTATATTCCAACCAAGCAGATCCTATTGAATAACATTCTTTCATTCAACGCTTACAAATCAAATTATATAATGTTGACTTGATCTATTAACTTACCAGTAATGTATCCGCGTACAATGGCTTCAACTGGAAAGACTTTTAGATTTTTTACCAACAAACATCGATTTTCAAGTTGATCTCGATATTTTTGTACGCTTGCTGGCATTTTATTGAAATCACTGGTAATTAAATGATTAGGGATTATATCACTCAGATAGTTAAACCAGAAGACACTGATTTGGGTAAGAATTTTTCCTTTTCCTGGGACACCCTTTGAGATATAACATGGATCGACAAAAAATAAAAGATTGGGTTTTTAATAACATAATTTAAGGCATGAATATAGTGTATTTAGAGAAACTAGCTTCGTAGATATTGTCAAGACAACTTAATTGGACATATGGGTGAACACAGAGCTAAGCAGATAAGAAACATATCACTAGAAATTTTATATTTTACAGAAACTTGCATTTTTCATAATAACGTCGAAAGCACTTATTCGGTCAGTAGCAACGAACAGTAATGTTGCATCATCGATACGGTATAAGTCTCGAACTTTACCGCGGGTTAGTAGGTCCAAGTCAGGACATACACTTTCGAGTAATGCCATATTTTTGTGAAATCAAGTTCGAGATTATCTATTTTTATGCATAATTTAAAAAAAAAAAATCATGTGAATAATTCCATATTTGGTAAACAACTTCGATTTC